TCCTTTGGGAATGGAGTGGGGATTGGGTGGGGGCCTGGGTGGGCTGGGGGTGGGAGAGGAGAGAAGGGGGAGGGAGCTGCGGTTGACATGTGAAGCAAGCTTGAAATTTTAAAAAAAAATGCCAAAACAAAATTTGTGTTGAACAACAACAACAAAAAAAAGTCTAGCGTTCAACATATAAAAAAAATATCTTCCCCTCACTTCCCTGCTGAATTCATAATTGCTCCTCAATTTCCAATCTCTCAACAATTACAGCAAAATTAACTTCAAAATTATAACTGATGCCTGACACTTCTGTCAGTTTCCACTAACCATCGGCAAGCAAGAAGCCATTACATCCCTAAGATACTCACAGTTAGACAGCTCTTATTGTATATCACAAAAATCACATCACTGCTGTATTTATTTCAGTCAAAATTAATCTTTTTAATTCATAGGAAATTCCCATGAACACATCACAGCAGCTTATGTCACTAAACTGTCTCTGTTTAAATTTGGGATCTCCCTTTTAAACTTTAAACTCTTCCTGGATTTTCTCATTAAAAGATGACCACAATTATGATATTCAAATTGGTTAGTATCATGTGAAATGATGTACAGCATGAATTAAACACTAAGTAAGCATTAGCTCTTGTTTATATTAATAAACTCAATTTCATTAAAGTCTGTGGAAGACAAGTATTTAATGTTTTGAATAATTCATCTCATTACATAAATGAAATATAACGTATTCTCGGGGGCAATCCTTCTATCATAGATTCATGATAAGCAATGGTCCTTTAAATCCTTGGGAAGGTAGGAAACATAGACATAGGTGCACTTTCCTCCTAAAACTGCATCAGAGTTTTAACGTGTTAATGAATTTTCTTTGAGATTCCCCATCAAGAGTGTCTAAAGTGGCATTTTATCCCAAGGAGATTTCTGAGCCTATGAAATTAAAGCTGAAGCTCATGTGTTTGGACAAATGCCTGGGGTGAAGTCAGCCTGGGAGCTCTCACGCCATTCTCCATCTGCCTGAATTTCGCCTTTGGCCTGTGTGCTCCTTTCTTGTAGCTCTAGACTCCATGAATATGCTCTGTTTTCACTTTATTCCGTTTCTGTTTTCAGAGAAGGAGTCCACTGAGATTCAGTGTATCTGCATACTATTCTAATGTATATTCAACCACTTGAAGACAATTTATACTTCTATTTTTAACTTATTCAACTTATAAATAAAATTCAAGTCACAAAGAGAGTCTAAGCTAAATTATAAAATATGCCTCCTTTCAGGCCTCCCCAGCTCCATCCTAAGATATAACTCCTTTTAACAGTAATCGGGCCTTTGAGAACTTTTTTCTAACTATGTGGAGTTTTATTTGTTTGTTCTTTACACTACTCATTACATATTAAAATCCAGCCTAACAGTGAGGGTTCCATTTCTTACATCCATCAACAGCACTAAGAAAAGAGAAATCTGGCACATTCTCAGCTTCTCCGATACTTGACTTTATTATTTTTATTAGCAGTAGTTAAGTTTCTAATGTTTGAATTTAGTCCTCTGACCTATAATAGGTTCTTTTAGTTGTTATTGTTCTGTATAGAAGCAAGTAGTAAAACACAAAGAAAAGTAAATGAATCTGTCTCCATACCCCTGCTTCTAGATGTATATATTTTTGCACATGAGCTAAGATATATTCATCTTTAAATTTGTTTTCATTCTTCCTCTTTTATGCAGGAAATGCTCAGTTACTTGTCTCTGTGATCATAACACCCTTCTTTAATTTACTCTTGCATCTTTTATTAATTTTACTAGATCAACTCCATCCAAGGGCATACATAGGTACTAAACTTACTGTGTGCTGTATTGCAAGCTAGAAAAATTTTGTGAAATATTTGATTATAGTATGTAAAGATATGGTCACTGTGATTGGTTTGATAAAAAGCTAAACAGCCAATAGCTAGGCAGGAGATATAGCAGGAACTTTTGGACAGAAGAAGAATAGTGCTACGAAACAGTCTGTTTGTGTTGAAGAAAATCAGGTTTAGTAGAGGTAGACACTGGGACAAGCATACTTTTTTTTTTACAAGAAATGATCTTGTCATCTCTTTTATTCTATTTTTCATTACCTAGTAACTACCTTTTATTACATTAAAGTAATGATTTTGTTTTTTTTTAAAGCAAGTATTTTACTGAGACTTTACACAAGAAAGGGATGCATGCATATTAGCTGTCATTTATTTGAAACCAAAGGTCTGAGGAATTTTTGTATGTTTGTCCAAAAATACTTGAAAACTCAAAATAACCTATCCTCCTATTTTGTGTGTGAATGTGTGTGTGTGAATGTGTGTGTGTGTGCGTGCGTGTGTAGACAGAAAGAGAGAGAGAGAGAGAGAGAGAGAGAGAGAAAGCAAATTCTAGTATTTTTATTTTGAAGTAGAAATTGTTTCAGACATGTGAGAGGTTATTTCAAATTTATCTTTAGAGTTGTAAATCTGTATCTTTCATCGTATATGCAGTTATTTTAATGGTATTGTCATTTATAAAAAGGGATTTAAAAACAATTATTTCCTTGATTAAAGAGTAACTTCCTTTATATTCAATATTTTACTAGTAAGTGTTTGACATCTGAAAAGACAACTCTAAGTGGCCAGAAAGGGGACCACCATAGAAGATCTGAGATCAGTTCCCCAGAACCCACACGATGGAAAGAGGGAACCAATACTTACTAATTGTTCTCTGCCTCCATATGCACTGTGACATGCACACACACACACACACACACACACACTAACACAAATAAATAACAAATGTAAAACACACATACAAGCTTAAGTTAGTTATATTTATATACTTAGGAACACATATGCTTATACAGATGCATAGATGTATAACAGTGATTAATGAAAAAAAGGTCATGATTTGGAAAGAAAACAGGGAGGGGTATGTGGAAAGGTTTGGAAGGAGGAAACGGAAGGGAGAAATGGTGTAATTATATTAAAATTTATAAAAGAAATTTTAAAAGATTTAAGACCATACCAAGAATAGGTTGTCATCTACAGAGAAAGACAAAGGACAACATGAGTGTGATGAGGTAGAAGGTAACACCCTCTTCCCTGAGAACTCAGCTGTAGCAGCTCTCTCCACACGGTAAAGTGCACATGCGCAGTCCTGCAGTGTCTTAGGGACAGCACGCACACATCCCTACTGCCTGCAATATTATGGCATATTCTAGAGCCACTGGAAACAACGTTTTCATTTCAGTCACAGATTCCCTCCAGCGTGTTTCACTGTGGATCCTGTGTATATATGACAATGAGGCACTGAAGAACCTCCAGCTCGACTCTGGAACTCTTCCATGGTGAAGAAATGAGCTGTCAGGACTGCTCACTCACTGAACAACTACAGAAAATCACCCACAGCTCAAGACACCACTACACCATTCTAAATTGCCTTCTTTAATGGTATTTTCTGAGAATTTCATATGTGAGCACTGCATCTATAGCTCTCCTGCCTCTCACCCACCCTTCTCCAGCTCCTTCCCCCACTCCCAAATTCATGACCTCTTCTTTATTATTTTACATGTCTGTTAATATGCCTATATTTGTATGCATGAATATATGACCTTCTGAGTTTGGTAGACTTTGCTTGAATGTACATGTGTTTAGAGCTGACCACTTGTGATGAGACAGCCTTTGTGGGAGCTCATCCCTTGAGGCAAATGTTTCTCCCATTCAGCAGCCACTGACCTCCTGCTGCTCTTCAAGTAGGGACAGAACAACGTTCTGAATCCAACAATTGCAAAACAATTTCATACAACCTGATGCTAATTTTCATCCTATTTCAGGTTGCCAGTTAATGGTGAAAAAATTCAATTCTGAATTTCACAACATTCCTATGATTTCCTAAAAATTCACAACAATAGTAATTATTACTGTTCTGTTTCTTTCTTAATGTAGTTCACCCTGTTCTTGAACCAGTTACTTTGTCACTAAAAAGATTATAAATTAACTCAGCCATCTCTGACTTAGCAGTTTGATCTCAGCAGGGCTCTTCATTGGATGTTTTCCTGTATTTTTAATGCTGGTTGATAATCTATTTTGCCTGTTTGCCATTAATAATATATTTTAAAGATGATCTCATTTCAACAATATTTGAATGATGCCTTAGTTACCTATGGTTACATTGTAACATCTGCTTTAGTTTGGAGTGCAATAAAATTCTGTAAGCTATAAAAGCTTATTTCTCCACATTCTGAGGCTGGAAAGGACAATATCAAGGCACAAACAGATTCAGCAAGTGACATGGCTTACCTCCCCACAAATGGCAGCCCTCTTGGGTTTAATATCCTGGAAGGGCCAAGGAGCTCCTGCCCTTGTGACTTTGTCACTTCCCAGTAAGTTTCATCTAATGTTATCATTTTGGGGACTCAGATGTCAGCATATGAATTCAAACACGCACAAATACAACAGCATCATTATTAATATATCTAACTTTTTAACTATTTTGAGAACTTTTAAATAAATTCAATCTGAACAAAATGGTACCTTCATTTTTAAGTTTAATTTGCTTTACTTCTTCCATTTATCCAGTATAAGCCATTTATAAAATTGGTAATTATTAGGAAAATTCAAATAAATACAGTTTGAAATACATCCTAATAGGACTAAAGAATCACCAGTGAGTCTTAGGTTTCAAAATGGAATTAAATTATAAAGAGAGACACCCACTTTTATGAGTAAACTGAGTGGAATATAAAGTGAACTTTCCATTTCAAATTCAACACATTAAGTTCAGCTTTCATGTAGGTACTGTCAATAATGTCGTCTGACTCTACAAGCCCATGTATAATAGTCTCTTACAGCAATGTGTACTTTTGATAAATGTGGGGGTGTTACGCTAGTTAAAGACAACAGAGCAGGTTACTGAGGTCATTTTCTAAGTCCCTTGTGTAATTTCTACATTGCATAGTCTGTTCTATTTCTAAAACTACAAATAAGTTCAGGGATTAGTTTCTTCTTACCGTCTGTGGTACTACTGTAGTTCTTCCTGTTCTTGACAAGAAAGCAACATTTTTGTTGGTCAAGTTAGGTAATTCATCAAGAATTTTATCAACCTGTGAATTCAAAAAGATCACATTGAAATAAAGAGGTAAAAGAGTATATATCACTTATTAATTAGTACTAGAAACAATAAGCATTCAAAGAATGAAGCCTGTCAATACTATTACCCCACTAATAGAAGTAGACAAAGATTCAAAAGAAAAATCCTTAAATTCAATGAGTTAATACAATGGAAACAGTTGATTATAAAGCCTGTAGTTAAGTATAATTGATCTTTATAAATTACTTAAGTAAGTAAAGTGAGGCTATTATGAGGTTGTGTCTCCTAGGATTGTCAGAAGCTATACCCATGGTGTCTCACTAACACTGCTGCCTAAACATGAGCTGAACAAGGGCAACAACAGTAGACATGGACTAGTGTGGAGAAAGCCTACTGAGTCCTCAACCATACTCTAAGAACTGCAAGCAACTAAGGGACAGAGAGAGTAAGAGAAATGGTAGTTTCCAGTGAGAAGCGCATCAACTGCTATACAGCCAATGATCAACCCTGAAAAAGAAACACAGGAGTAACATGAAACAGACGGAACAAGTTGAACATATATTTAGAACTACGTGCAAATCACAACAATTATTGAAGAATGAGACCATGAATTTGAAAGAGAGAAAGTAGGGGTGTAGGAGAGAGTTTGGAAGGAATAACTGATGGTGGAAATATGAAATCAAACTATAATTTCAAAAGTTAAAAGTAACTAGATGAGTGTAGTAGTATACACCTTTCATCCCAGCATTCAGGAGGCATAGTCAGGTGGATCTCTGTGAATTTGAGGCTAGCCAGGACATTCAGAGCTACAGAGAGAAGCTCTGTCTCAAAAACCAGAAAAATAAATAAAGTAGCAAAATAAACATTAGAATAAAGCTATACTCAAATATCATATTTAGATATCAATTACTTTTCAATATCACAACCAGTATGTTGTAATCTCACTAATATACAATTATAATTTATACATACAATTATATAGCATTATTTGTTAACACTTTATTATTAATACATAAAACATATTAGCTAAAATTTAACTTAATTATGTGCAGTTCTGAACTAATATGTTTTCTAAGTAAAATGATCAATACTCTTTTAATATGGCAATCCCTCACATGCACTGAAGATGAAAGTTAATATGTTAGAAGAAGCAGGTAATCTACAATTTTAATTTACAATTAATTAATCCCTGTGAAGCAATGTTTCCAATTAATCTAATTTATTCATCTGTATTCATTTAAACTGTATAAACAGTTGCAACATTATTTGTTTATACAAGGATAAAGATTTATTTTCTCATCGTCATAGACTTCATTGTTTTCATATCCTAACTTCATATTTGTATTTAGTATTTCAGAATTTGGAACATAGTAGGTAATGGTCTGATACATCTGCTTCTTTATTTATTTTATGGTTAACTAAATAAGTAATAAATAAATAGCAAATTAAGTTACTAAAAAGCCAAATATATCCTTACATGTTCTCTCTGTAAAACTATCTGATCCTTTAGCAATAAACACAATTTTTTGTGAAAATAAAATGGGAACAAAGGTTCATACTTCATAACAATAAAGACTATATGTGACAAACTTAAACCCAACATAGTAGAAAACAAGGACAAAGTTCAAATATTTCCATTAAAAGTGGGGAAAGTTGGAGGTGTCTATTTCCAACAAATACATTACACTTGGGTAAACTGAAGCACTAAGAAAGTTTCCCAACTTAAAAAAAATTGCAAACCAGAAAAATGCACTACCAAATCTTCCAGAACCTTAGAGAAGAACTACTAACAGTAGTGTTCCTCAAATCATTCATTAAATAAAAGTAAAATTAAAGATGAAAATTAAATGACCAATAAATACACGAAAATTTTTCAGCATCTTCAGTATCAGAGAAATGAGAAGCAAAACCATACTACAATTCTGTCATCCCAGTAAACACAGCTATTATCCAAAAAACCAAATGAAGGGCTGGAGAGACGACCCAGTGGTTAAGAGCACATAACTGCTCTTGCAGAAGACCCAAGTTTGGTTCCCGGCACTGATTTCCAATGGAACACAGCTGCTTACAGAGGATCCAAAGCCTTCTGGCCTCTGTGAGACCTGCACTCACATGCGGGTGCATACACAAACACACACAATGGGGAGAAGAGCGGGGGAGGGGTAAAAACAGAAATAAGACAGCAAATGCTGGTGAGGATGCAGGCAAAAAATAAAGAACCCTTGTAAACTATTGTTGGGAGCATAAAATAATGTGGCTACTATTAAAATCACTATAAAGACTCTTTCAAATAACTAACAACAAATTCCAAATGATCCACCTATAGGTGTACACTCCTGGGTATATATACAAATGAATCACAGCCAGCATGCCAAAAGAAGTACCAACACAACAATATTTTTGCAGCCAAATATTCAAGCTATGGAATCATAACTTGTGGAACATATGCTTGAGCTGACTATGTTCCTCAAAAGAACCACAAACAAACAAAAACCCAATACCAGGCATAAGAAATGCTTTTCAATGGTTGAACAATGCAGTGCAAGTGACTCCCAAAACAACAGAACCTATCGATGTAGCCTTCAGTTGCTTCTCGGAAGTTGAAGGTAAGCCTGTATTGGGAAGACACTGGTCCCTTAAGACACAAAACTCATATTCAAGCTGGATACATGAACACCTCCTTCCTCCAGTCCAGTTTCCATAGTACCAGAAAATACTGTTCAAGCTGCCAAGGGAGGGGACCAATTCGTAGTCTTACCCAGATGCAACATCTATGAGCCACAGCACTGATGAGCAAGTTACCTGTAAAGGTGCTGTATGTGGTAGTAACCAACAGCTGTCTACCTGGACATATGGCACTCTCAACAGAGGCGAAATCATACCTCGAATTAGAATCTAGCCAACTTCTGAAGCCAGTGCAGTCACTAGAAAAGAGTCAACGACTGCCACTTTGACAGACCTCTGTTATTCCTTACTGTGCTCTAAATCTTAGCTTTATAACCCACAGATAGGTATAGCTACCACACTTCATTGGAGAAGCTTATCTTTACAGCAGATAGAAGCTTCTACAGGAAACCACAACTGGACACAATGAAGAGACTGATGGATTGCAGGAGCCTAGTTCCAATGAATGCAGCTGCATCACAGTGCCTGAATCTATGGTTCAGGGAACATCGTGCAAGAGGGAGCAGAAGGATGGTAACAGCTAGACTATAAGGAAGTCAGATATGAAACAATATCTCCTAAATATAGCTACATAACAAGACAGGAGCAATGCCAGTATCAATACACAAGCTAACGTGGATCGAATTTTTCACAGGGCTCCACCCCCTAGGCAATGAACTATAGAAAATGAATTATTGGGAGATGGAGAATTTGTTTATTGTCTAATACAAAGTGGGCAGTCTTGAACCCATATATATAGAAGTGACAAAACTAGTCTTAGCACGTTGTAATTAAATATTTGTGCATATGTATACATACATATATGTGTGTGTAAAACAATAATCAAAGACAAGGCATTATCAATTTGACAGTGAGAGTCACTGGAGGGGATATAGGAAAGGTATCTGGGAGGGCTGAAGATCATCTTGTTAGGCTACATAAGCTAGGCCCATGAAAACAAATGCTGCATGCTTTCTCTCATGTGTACAATCTAAACTTATTTTAAAAACAAGACTAGAAATTAGAGGAAGGCTATATGGAGCAGCATTAGGTGGGCATCAGGAACAAAGAGGGGACTGGAGAAAGTCAAAAGAAAATATGAAAATAGTCAAATGCATAATATATGTGTTTGGGAATATCATAATTAAACCCATTAGTTTATGTACTCAACATACAATAATAAAAGAAAGAATTCTAGAATTGAAACAATAATATGTGAAATTAATTGTGCTTGTGCCTGTATGTGTTCCTTATGGTTTTTTTCTTTGCTTTTCTTTTTAAATTCTGGTTTGTTTGGGCAATTTTTGTTGTTTTCCTGTTTGTTTGCTTCATAAAGAAAGAGAATACGAAAGGGCATGGAGTTGGGTGGTTCAAGAGACAGGAAGGGTCAAGGAAGAGTTAAGGAAGAGGAAACCATATTAGAATATATTGTATGAATATAATTATTTCAATAAAAAAGAAAATAAACTGTATTTTAATAATTCAATAGCTTCATTTTGATAAACAGTTAAAAATTGCAGATTCTCCTAACAGAAAATTTATACACCCAAGCATGAAGAAGAGAAAAAAATGTGCAACACAGAGATATGCTAAGAGATGTTCAGAGTATGACAAATAATCCAATATACATATGTATTAGGATCCAAAAACTGGGAAAGGATATGGCATAAGAAATATATGAAGAAGCAAGAGACAAGAATTATTTCAAATTGACACCCCACAGCAAGCCAAGATGTAACGGCTCAGCAATTTTGCGACATATGTATTGAAAGGAAAGCAACACTTAGTCACACCTAATATACAAATGAAAGACACAAAAACATCCACCCATTTCCCTTGAAAAACAATATGCAGAACAACTCACTTCTCACAATGGCATCATTAAAGTGCTGAAAGTAAGCAGCAACCTAAAAATGTACACCTCCCCAAAAATCCAAAATGTATACACTACAAAGCAAGCCTACAATGACTCAGCAACAGCCGACCTAGACAAGGAGAAACACAAGATGTCTATTTTTCAGGAAGGCAGAAGAAAATCCCTGACAGAAACAGGAAAATGCAGAAAGTGAGTCTGTGGTAATGGCATATCAGTGAATACAAATGATACAAAGCAGTAATGTTCCAAGAGTTTAAAATATACAAATTTAGGGCCTGAGACAATGTAGCAACATGGAGTGAAAATGCTCTAAGTCAGGATTGTTGAAGAAATGGTAAGACTAATTATTTTTAGTTGGAGGATGATGATCAAAGGATGCTGCAAGACTCCAATGGGAAAAACAATGCCAATTTAAAAATAATGAACTAATGATACATCTTACACAAAGCATAGCAAAATGTTCTAAAAACTATTTAAATTAATGACAGGATCCTTAAAATAACTATGGTATATTTAATGTGCTAGTTTTTATAATCATAATGAAAATGTTGGTATGAAACTGAATCTGTGTTAGAGAATACATACATAAAAGGTCATGTGAAAAAGTTTGAAATGAAGTTTAGAAACATAAAAAAATCTACCAATAAAAAGACTAAAAACTTGTTCATTTAACAACTCATTAATAAACTGATGACTTGGATAGAAAATAAGTTGACAAAACCAGATAGCTATTGAAGACTATCTATTATACTGTGAAGGGTTGTGGGATATAGAAGGAAAACAATAAAACAGAAATATCTATAAATTAATTAAATGTGGATATCGGAGTCTCCCATTATGGCATATTTCAAGTTACCAAGTATTGTTAGTTTTGGATGCTAACAAGAGCTTTTACCCATAATGACACATCATGTGTCAGCAGTCCTGTGCTGGTCCTCCCTGTCCAGAGGGCATGCTAGAGACCAGTGGATACCTGCAAACAACGGCTTTTTTGTGGAAGAAAACACGGATATAAGGAACTTGAGTCTTTTATAATAAGTAGTTAACCTGCCCTCTGTTTGAGGCAAAAGTATAATATCTTTGAAAACTGTTTAATATAAAAATCATATTGAAAACAGAGCCTGGAAAAATACACAAAAGCAATAAAATATTTACATAAAAAACAAATGTTGGGGCTGTCTGCTTAGAAAATAAATCTGAAAAAGTAACTTTCAAAGATATAAAAGATCTGAAAAACTCAATGTTTAATAACATATTTTATGTATAATAAAATGTAAAAATGCTCTTGCACCATTAATTCAGAGCATTGAATTAAATACTTACACAATTCCCACCTTTTTAATTAAATTATTAATTTTACATCCAGACCACAGTTTCCCCTCCCTCATTTCCCCCCATTCCATCCCCCAACTCCCCTCCATCAACCCACCTCCAGTCCACTCCTCTGTTTCTATCAGAAAGGCAAGCCTCCCATGGGTATCAACAAAGCATGGTGTAGTAAGTATAAGCACCTCCCCTTGTGTTGAGGCTGGGCAAGGCAATCCAGGTTCCAAAAGACACAGACAGCCAAAGTCTTAGGGACAAACCCTGCTCCCACTGTTAGGAGTCTCACAAGAAGACAAAGCTACACAATTGTCACATTTGTAGAGAGCTTAGGTTGGTGCCATGCAGGCTCTGTGGTTGTTGGTTCAGATTCTGTGTTTCTGTAAGCCCAGGATAGCTGTTTCTGTGGGTTTTCATTGACCCCTCTGGCTATTACAATCTTTCCTCCCTCTCTTCAGCAAGATTCCCTGAGCTCAGCCTAATCTTTGGCTATAGATCTCTGCATGTGTTTGTCATCTCTAATGACAACTGGGGTAGTCACCAGTTTATGAGTAGAGCAGAATATCATTAGGCATCTTACGTTGATATTTTTTTCTCCAGTTGTATTTGGTTCTATCCTAAATCTCTGGGTCAGGGGTGGGCTCACTCTCACGGCATGGGTTTCAGGCTGTACCAGTCATTGCCACCCTCTGTGCACAATCTCTGTGCCACCCTTATCCCAGCACACCCCATAGGCAGGACAGACTGTAGGTCAAAGATTTTGTGGCTGGTTGATGTCCCAATCCCTACCCTGGAAGTCTTGCCTGGTCACAGGAAATGGACATTTCAGGTTACAGAAACACTATTGCTAGGAGTTTTAACAGGGGTTCTTGTAGATTCCGGGGAGTTTACCTTGTGCCAGGTTGCTATCTGACCCGGAAATCTCCCCTTTCCAGTTACCTCTTTCAATACCCTTCCCCTTCATCTATCCCCAGCCTAATCCCTCATGCTCCCATACCCACCCACCCCCTGACCACCTACAAAATCTCTTCTATTTCTCCTTCCCAGGGAGATCCATTAGTCCCCCTTGGTTCCTCCTTGTTACTAGTCACTCTGGAGCTGTGAATTGTAACCTGGTTATCCTTTACTGCACAGCTAATATCCACTTATATGTGAGTACATACTATGTCTTTCTAGGTCTGCATTACCTTACTCAGGATGATTTTCTTCTAGACTCATCCATTTGCCTTTAAATTTCCTGATGTCTTAGTTTTTAACAGCTGAGCAATACTCCACTGTGTAAATGTACCATATTTTCTTTATCCATTGTTCATGTGATTGGCATCTAGGTTGTTTTCAGGTTCTGGCTATTATAAATAAAGCTGCTATGAACATAGCTGAGTAAGTGTCCTTGTATATGATGGAGTATCCTTTGGGTATATGTCCAGGAGTGACATAACTGTGTCTTGAAATCCTTAAGCATATTATATTTTACATTGTTTGCACTGTTAATGCCATTGCCTCATCTTAGAATCATATTATACATATTAAATACTTGTGCAAGAATATCACTTTGTGACCAAAGATGGCTCAGTAGGAAAAGACACTGGCTCCCAAGGCTAAAGCCCCAGTTCATGTCCAGAACCTACCTACATGGTGAAGGTAGGAAACTGACTTCTGAAAGTTACCCTCTGACCCACACAGAAATCCCATCTCACACACACACGCACGCACACACACACACACACACACACACCAACACACACACACAATGTTTAAAATGCCATTATGCAACCCAGTACCATTTACAGTGAATATACACTAACAAAAATTTTATAAATTATATTATATATAACTATATCATTATATTGTACATGCTTGTACTGTGTATAACCTCTGTGACATTATATAATTACATATCATATAGGATACATTATAAAATATATTATATCCCATAAAGTTATCCTTAGTCAAAAGCTAACCAATACTTCCACTGAATGAAAATCTCAAGCTCCTGTTCTCATCTCCTGACCCCACTGCTGGCCTTATATACACAGAAGCTTCTCCTTATTAGAAAACTTACCATTTTAAACTAGCTGTCTTGTTACCTCTCCCTAACCCTTAACCACTATGTATTAATATCTCCATTTCTTGGTCTAAAGCTTGGACCTTTGCTTTCCTTGTTAATTTCCCCTGAGCATAGCTTTAATGCAGATTCTTTCAAATGTGACATCTGTAATCTCTAGAACTTCAGTTTGTAAGTTATTTTATCTGCTGTCATTCATCTACTGGTCAATGCGATCAGTTTTCAACTTTCCAAAGCATATGGGACATTGTAACAGGAATATCTTTCTATGCTTTCCTAGAAATTCTACTATAACATGAAACTTTAGAGAGTGCTAATGGCTTAATATTGTGTGTAAATATGTTATATATAAAGATAATGTCTTGTAATTAATCTATTACCTGATAATTACCAGGTCCTGGACCACTGGAAACTTTTTCTTTTTGAGCTATGATCAAAGGTGGAGGGACAGAAGAACAAAATGCAGCTTTCTTTGGTTTCTTCAAGCAGGTTTTTTTAACCTTGGCAATTACAGTGTTGCTTGGAATATCATAAAAACCAGGACCTAAAATTATGACGAACATTGTGTATAAGAAAAAGTACACTTTTAAGAACATTTTTTTGAACTCACTAACATTAAGTAAATACTTTAGAGTGGGGTACATATTATATTTCTGGCTAGAATACAACAGTACAGACACTTTTCAAAAATTTATCCAAGGCTTATAAAGTTAATGAGTAAATATCAATAACTGTCAGAGCATGCAAAAAAAGCAGTGACAAAATTCTAAATGATTCTACTTACACAAAAATTTAGAAAACACAGGTTCAGAAAAGTTGCCTGGGGACAGGCGTGGGGATGGACATAAATCCCAATGGTACATGTGAGAAACTTTAAAGAGTGATGGGGCTATTCCAAAACTCAATAATAACAGTGGTTTCCTGTATGAAAAAGTTAGCAGTTTCATACCTTTTGAAAGCCACATACTATGCTGAGCTGAAGTAACCACTCCAGGAAATCACTGACAAAGGAATTCTCCAATGCGCTGAGAAGGAACATCCTGAGAATAGTGGTAGCTATATTCTTCCCTAGTGACAACATCCTGGACCCTTAAGACATCAGAGCAGAGCTACCAAAGGAAATTATTCCTTCCATGATAATTTTCACAGCCTAAGTTACCTAACCACCTCCACTTGCCTCTAATAAGACTCCCTAAGTCCCTACCTAATATTCTAATCTTTACTAGTAGCCTACTTTGATTTCTGTTGCAATGATAAAAACATTGACCAAAAGCAACCAGGGCATAGGAACAATCAGTTTGAAACACATGTAAACACTTCAGTGTCTGTCATCCAGAACCCAAAGAGTTTGGGCAGCTCCACCTCTCCTGTCCTGACACTCACGGCACACAGCTTGTCTTGTGCTAGCTCCACCTCTCCTGTCCTGACACTCACGGCACACAGCTTGTCTTGTGCTCCGCTCCACACTTCCACTGTCTTTAGAAGTCACCCACGCTCCCGGCATCTCCAATCTGCTAAAGTGTCCACTTCAGCAGAGGCTGCCTCTGCCAGGCCCTCTCTATGGACTCAAACCTGCTTCAAGGTTCCATCCTCAACTTCTCCCCTTGACAATTTCAAGCCTGGGTGGGGCCTCCACTATAAGCGAGGCTACACGTGCATCAATGGCCCCCTGGCTTCTCTGTGAGGATTCCAACTTTCCCAAATGGTGCCAAGCTGCATCTACGCTCTATGATCCTTTATGTTTTCAAAATCAGTACCATGTAGAAGACTCACTACCCATTACAAAGCTCAGCTACCAGCCTGAGATGAAGCCTTGACCCCCTAGACCACATTGTCTGTGTGCTGACCCTGAGAAAATATATCTCAAAAGATTTCACCTCAGTGATGCTGCTATCTTATCAAATACAACTGATTCTTCAGCCAGTGCTAACCAGAACCAACTTTCCCAGGAAAGCAAGCATTCCACTTTGGAATTCTTAATCCAAAATTTCATAAAAACAGTCCTAAAAGAGTCTTTGCTTCTCTCTGAAACTTCACAAGCCAGGCCTCCAACCTCCACATCTCTCTCAACATCTTATCTTCCAAGCTTCCAAAACTTCTGAGTATTCAACAGCATTGTCTAGCCCTAAGCTCCAAAGTCAAACACAATCGGGTCCATCAGAACAATACCCCCAGGATCTCAGTGCCAGTTTTCTGTTCTAGTTTGATTTTTCCTACTGTAGGAACTCAAGATAGGAGCCTGGGGGTAGAGCCCATGAAAGAATACTACTTAGTGACTTGCCTCCACTGGCTTGCTCGGCTACATTTCTTAAAGTCCAGGCCCACATATCCAAGAATGGACCCACCTACATCAAGAAGCAATCAAGAAAATTGTCCCATAGCCACGGCCACAGGCTAATCTTGTAGATGCAATTCTTCAGGTGAAATGGTTCTCCGCAGTTGGGTTGTGTCCATTTGACAATAAAACCAACCAAGACAACTAGAATCTGTGCTTCTTATTACCAATTTTAACTGCTGTTTTGATTAATAAAACACATGAACCTCTTTGAATGATAGCTGACTAATACATTTATCAAGACCATAGATCTATATACTTAAAATTATTCTATTATGTGTAAGCTAAACCTCAATACAGAATACATGAATAGATCACCAAGCTAAACAATTTTAGAAGGGTGATGTAAAATGTATTTAAGATGCAAAAAAATTCATCTATCGTAATAATTTTCCTGTCACCTTATTGTAGTTTTTCATTCCTTCTTTACATTAAAAAAACTATAACTCAAGAATATTTTCTATAGTGATAGTCTGAATGAAGTTTCACATACTTTTCACTCAAACAAAAATAAACAACTTTCTATGATGTTGAAAGTTTTTTGTAAAGATACTCAGATACTTGCAATAAGTATTTAAGTATCCTCTGAATAGTTTGGTTTTTCTTCAAGAGAAGTCTGTTTGGGTGAGTAGATATCCATTAGCGAGATACGACATATCTGAATGACTACTTCAAGTTATGTATGTTCTATTAAATTGGCTCTGTTAACTGATCTGACTAAAACTTCACTATATACTGATTTGTCTGCTTACCACTTAGTCAGTACTTACATTTGTTACTTTTAATAATGTCACTAAGCACAGAGCTTTAGTCAACTGAATTCACCCATGTACCATCCTATTAAGGACAATAAGTTGCATACAGTCAGAGTAAAAGATGAACAGCAAACCTGGCATTTCCTGCGCCCGGGAGTCCTGTGTGAACCGGGCAGCACTCTGTCCAAATGGCGAATACTGTCCTAATTTTTTCTTTGAGCACTTAAATGCAGTTCGTGTTTCATTATATGTTCCAGGAGCTGGGGTACTGGATTTGATAGGTGCAAATCTCTAGGGAAATGTACCAATAAAAAAAACAGAAGATTCCACACATGAATAGTTAAAAATTGCCTTCTGAGAGACATGGCAGCTAGAGTCTATTTCTCGACGCAGCAAAAACAATACAGATGAATTAAGATGTTTTGGTCATTGAAACATAAAACATATAACTTTTGGTAAAGTTTCTGATATACTAATACTGTTATGTTCAGGTGTGTCCCACTTCCTTTAGAAAGAGACAATGTTGAAATGAGATTCTAGTTCTACATGACAGGATATGGACAGTATTAACTTTCAACAAATCTTTGCTTACCAAAGAGCTGTATGATCTAACATGATTTGTGTTATATTTCTGTGTGTGCACATGTGTGATGGAGGTGTGTGTGTGTGTGTGTATGCGTGTGTGTACAAATGCCAGCATGTGGTGGTGTGGCAGAGGTCGTCAGAAGTCTTCTTCAATTACTTATCCATCTTAGTTTTAGACACAGGGCCTTTCATGAACCTGGAGGCCACTTGTTGGCTAGTCTGGTTGGCCAACAAGCCCCAGAGAGCCTCATGTATTTACCCTCCAATACTGACAGAGTCAAATATTGGTTACCTGGGGCATTTCTACCTTTAACTTCCCACGCTGCTGGTAAAAGTAATAACTAATTGTTCGTGTGTTTCCATTTGCTTTAGTTTTAGAAAGTTTTTTAACTCATTCTATTGTGATTGAATTTTACTATTTGCGAATATGTGTAACGCTATCATGCTTCCAAAAGACAAGGCATGCTTTTTTAATAGGTGCCAAGGAGCATTCGTTGCTGCCTCTCATTTCACTCTATTTCTATGTGATCCTGCCTCTGTGGTGGGTAGGAGCTCACAATGTATAATACTTTCTTATATCCATGGTGGAAATTCACCCACAGGATGGCAAAGTTCACACTACCAGCATAATATCAACTGACATGCACAAGTCTGGAAACCACCATGGCCTCTTGGAAGCTGATGCCCTGTAGCATCTGCAGCCCATCCCAGCTCCTAGCCATCCTTTCCAGAGAGCCTACAGCATTGCTTCCTATTTCATCCTCTCTGTGTGTTCATAAAACCAAACAGGTATGTGCATGTTTTCCTTTTGCCCTTTTTTTTTTACAAAATTGTAGTGCATTAAAATATGCTTTTTGCATTTTGTAAAAATATTTAAGTATGAAGGCCAACTGAAATGATCCCTAAGAGGACAGGAGAACAGAGTGGCTCCTACATGTGTCAATTTTTAAAATCCCATGAAAAATCTAAATTTCACCCAGAACTTGGAACCATGGTTACAACTGTGTTTTGTAAAATATTATATGAAAACATGAGGGAATTCGTTGCATTTTGGTAAAATACTAGACCTTTCCTGAAGCATGTCTAAAATTTTCCAGAAATACAACCATATTTATGCCTAAATAGCATAAAACCTGACCCCTAAGTGTATCTTCTTAATTGGATTGTTTCTTTTTCTATTGTGATAATTAATATATCTTTTCATATGCAACTAAACACACTACCTCTATGAGGTAACCATGTTTGGTTTTAGCTCTTTTGTGTCGTCTGCCATTATTCTGTCTTTTACTATCATCCATTTGAAAATTAATTCTATTTTCCACTTACAAAATATAACTCTAGTGTTTTGTAACAAATGACACAAAATTAGATTATATATTAGGTGAATGGAAGTTACATAAAAATTTGAAAGTGGTATTTATAAACTGTATTTTTAAAAATCAAGGACACACACACACACACACATCCTGTCCTTTATTTTCCCCCCTTGTGCAGTGCCTTAAGTACTATTAAGTTGCTCAAGACTAAAATCTAATATTCACTCTTGAGCCTCTCCAGTCCCTCAATACAAAATCTAGCTCATTAAAGTGTAATCATAATTATATCTATAAAATATATCTTTAATCTATCTACCTGTCTCTAAGGAGGAGATCTTAAATATATTGAAAGCAAAATAGTTGTTTATAGTCACCTGAAAGTTAATAACTTTCCCAAGTTAAATAAAATAATCAGAGATGCACATAGCACAAGTAGATAAATTTCACAACCACCTTATCCAGAGGCTTCCACATTACAAGTGCTTGTCGGTATCCTTATTTTCTTGACATAGGAATACCATAAACGCCTTTTAGTCTGTTTAGAGTGTTTCCTAAAGGACGTGATGCAGTTGCTATGGAACAAATGGATGCTCTGACTGCACGCTCATCACTGGGAAAGGTCATATATGATCAATGGTAGGTATGACAGAATACCTTTATGCCATTCTCCAAAAGTTACATGTTTCCACATGGGCTACACTTAATACTCAATGCATGCATTAACAAGATACATATTAAGAATACAATTGATACTTCTGATCATCTGAACTGACTGTTCACATATAAAAATTTGATTAATAGAAAAATGTTTCATAGATATTACCAATTCAAATATGAACCTGTGTATTATTCTTAACATTCAATATTATTTTACAAAACTCTACCCACAATTTTGAAATGTTTTGCCCTGACCTTGCTCATCTCCAATTTGTTATATGTCATTTTGCTTTTTATAATTTCCTTAAACACCTTTGGATTTATTACTGGGTTCATATCATGCATTTACACTATGTATATGAAAATGGTTGTACACAATTACCTCTGATTCAGAGAGAAAAAAGGAAGATTCATCATGTACATTTGCTGTCATACTTGGTGTCTTCTGAAATAGACTTTTAATTTCATACTTTCCAGGTCCTGGTACTCCCTAAGTTACAGAAAGAAAGAAATACATTAAGAAAGGCTTTACTTTCTATAATACCTAAGAAAAGACTGAATAATTCTTATAGGCTATGATCACAGCCTGTCACTAAGAGAAAAGCATGGGAGATACTTCCTAACAGCAGAAGAAAAGAAAAACCTGTCCTGGGCAAAGCTGCATTTGACCCTGGAAGCACACTACCTGAAGCTTTGCTGCCCTCTGCTGATAAAGCCAAAAAAATCCTCATTTTTCACAAGGCTAGCTATAAAAAGAAAGAAATAAAAGTGATTCAATTGCCCTTTCATTCCAGGTGAAGAGCTAACCTTTCCTCTTAAACATGCCTCTGGCTTGGAGTGGAGCTGGGGAGTTGGAGGGGGCACTACTGCATATCATAAACATGGGGCTCTTCACAGAGCAGCGACAACAAGAAAAGCTTCACTGTCTCTCAAACTTCCATTATTCAATATCCAAACAAATAGGCATCAGGGAATGTTTTACTTTAAACACAAATGCTTAATATAAAGAACTAAACTTTTAGTTAAATACTTTTAAATAAATAAAATTAATCTTATTAATCATAGAACTGAGTTCCTTATTTATTAAGACAAAATAGATAATAGATAGGATAGATAGAAGATGATAGCTAGACAGATGTAGATAGATAGATAGATGATAGATAGATAGATAGATAGATAGATAGATAGATGATAGATAGATAGATAGATAGAGATATTCACCAGCAAATACCTTATTACCTTGACACAGTATACTTAGTGATAGAAATAAGAAAAAAAAGCTAAATTTACATCTTTTCATATATCTCTCACTTGGTTTTCCACAGCTAAAGAATTTATCCCTGTAAGTCTGTGAAATACTACCCTCCTGGCATGATCGAACCAATGTAATCATAATATTATAGTAGCCTTGGCTACCTCCAGTGAGCTTACACAAGACTAGGCCTGCCAACAGCCCATCACAAAACAACAAAGCATTCGTAGGATCCCACCCTTCACTACTGAACTATTAACAAAAAATGGATACTTAGGAGAGGTGGACATTGGTTCAGTCACTCAACACTGGTGCATCATATGCCCATGTTCAACTCCAAACCCATGACCACACAAATAACTTTAGTTAAACTCAGCAAGTTACAAATTAAGGCAAATCACAGTACTTAGGAGGTAGATGCAAGTGAATCTCTGTGAGTTCAAGGCAAACTTGGGCTATGTAGTTAGTTCCAGGCCATCCAGGACTCCATGATGAGACACTGTCACCAAAAATATATTACTTGGAAGAAAGGAACGTTTGTGGTGGGAGTTATATAGGGAAAGATGGCTACCAGAGGAGAAAAGTATTCAGCAGTCTTACTCAGCTGTAAAGTGCTTACTTTACTTCTAGCAAAGTAGCAGGATACAAAATTAATACACAAAACTCAGTGGCCTTCTTCTATACAAATGACAAATCAACTGAGAAAGAAGTCAGGGAAACTGCCTTTCACCACATCCAGAAACACATAAAATATCTTGGGGTAACTCTAGCCCAGCAACTGCAAGACTTCTGTGGTAGTTTGCATGAAAATAGTTCCATAAGATGATAGGGAGTGGCACTGTTAGGAGGTGTGGACTTGTTGGAGTAGGTACGGACTTATAGGAAGACGTGTGTCCCTGGGGTTGGACTTTGAGGTCTCAGACGCTCCACACAGGCCAACAGCTCATGGTCTCTTCCTGCAGAGCCAGACGTAGAACTCTCAACAATTTCTCTGGCACCATGTCTTCCTGTACATTGCCATGCTTCCCACCATGACAATAATAGACTAAACTTCTGAAACTATAAACCAATTATATAGCCCCAATTAAATACTTCCCAATATAAGAGATGTTATGGCCATGGTGTCTCTTCACAGCAATAGTAACCCAACTATCACAGTTTGTATGATAGAAACTTCAAGACATTGAAGAAAGTAATTGAAGAAGATATCAGAAGATTGAAGGATTTCGCATGCTTATGAATCAGTAGGATTGATACAGCAAAAATGGCCAATCTACAGATTTAGTGCCATCCCTACCAAAATTCCAACATAATTCTTCACAAAAAAATTAAAGGACAATTTTCAGCTTCATATGTAAACAAGAAAAATATGATAGTTAATACAATCCTTAATAATAAAGGAACTGCTTGAGATATCACTCACCTCAAACTCAAACTGTACTATAGAGCTATAGTAATAAATATAATACAGCATGATATTAGTGTATAAATATATCACAGACATGTTGATCAATGGAATTGAATATCCAGACATAAATCCACATACCTACTAACAACTAATTTTTGATAATGAAGACAAAATACATATTGGAAAAAAGACAGCATCTTCAGCAAATTGTGCTGGTAAAACTAGATGTCTGATACCTGCTACTGTGCACAAAACTCAGCTTAAAATAGATCTAAGGCATCAACATAAAGCCAGATACACTGAACCTGAAAAAAGAAAAGGGAGAATAGCTTTGAGTTCATTGGCACAAGAGAAGAGTTCTTGAACAGAACACTGATAGCATAGGCACTAAGATCAACAAAGGACACCATCATTCAGACAGTGTAGCAGCCAGATAATGGGAAGATTTTACCACCTACACATCCAATATAGGTCTGATATCTAAAATATGTAAAGAACCCAAAAAAACTGGACATCAAAAATTTCCAAATTAAAAACAGGTCAAAACAGGGAATTCTAAAGAATAAATATATAATAATACCTGTTCAACATCCTTAGTTATCAAGAAAATGCAAATCAAAACTACTTTAAGACTTCATCTTAAATCCATCAGAATGCCAAGATCAATAAAGCAAATGACTGCTCTTGATGTTGGGGATGTAAAATAAGGGAAACACTCAGCCATTGCTGGTGAGAAGCAAACTTGTACAACCACTAAGAAAATCAGTGAAATGATTTCTTTCTTTTTGGCTGGAGACCTGGCAAGAGAAGCACCTCTCCACTCACCACAAACCAAAAAGACGGGGAATCTCTAATTCCCTCAATACTGCTCCCTCTGTGTCTCTATATCTGTATTCCTGGCTCCTCTGTCCTCTCTATAGAGAATTCCTGTCAACTAATTGTTGGCTCTGCCCTCCTGATCCAAGATTAATTTTAATAACATAGTCTTGGAGTTTCATAGTGCAATCAAATACTCTGTGACACAGGGGAAATCCAAACACTACTGTTCTGCTAAATGAATATAGCAATAAAATGACTCCTAGCAATAATCTGCTATACTCATAGATCAGTATCCTGCTCAGTCATCATCAAAGAAGTTTCCTCCTGTGGTAGATGGGTACAAACACTGTGACCCACAGTCACAAAATGCACAGGGTGAGAGACCTTTAACTCTCAATCCTAAATGGGATGTCTCCATAAAATCCTCCCACTCAAAGCTCAGGGAACCTTGCAGAAGATGAGGCAGAAAGAGTGTAAGAGCCAGTGTGGATCGAGAACATCAAAGAGAAACATCCTTTTAAACACAGCAAGACCAATGCACACATGGACTCACAGAGACTGTGGCAGTCTGAACAGGACCAGCACAGAGTTAGTCAGATGAGATCCCAGTGCTGACAGAAGGGGAACAAGCCCCCATCCCTAACCCAGAAGCTAACCACTCACAAATGAAAAATTAATTTTCTCTAACAGCATCTCACTAGGGACACAAACTACTCTTAGGGGCAGGTAAATTGCCAACACAAAACACAAACTCAGTGGCATTTTTGGTATATGTCTCATAATGTTTTGCTGGGGAAATTTTTTCTTCTGTCTCCTCTCTCTCTCTCTCTCTCTCTCTCTCTCTCTCTCTCTCTCTCTCTCTCTATTTAAACTTACAGATCCCTTATAGGGTATCTCAAGTCAATATTAGCTCCTACAATTTTCTCATATTTCAATTTATCAGAAATTCAGTGTTTTTTTCAGAAAGTCATGAAAGCTGTAAGATATTGTGATTCCAGGGGTAAAATGTTGCCTGAAGTTCCATTGTCTCAAGTTTGTATAAATATCAAACACAGTCTGTAGGGGGAAATTTAGTACACCACCATTAGCCATGTGGCATATTAGAGGCACATACAGATGAGGTAATAAAAGGGCAGTTTACCAAACCGCTAAACACACCCACTTTAGGAGTGACTAAAGACGTATGCCGACATAGGTGGTGAACTACGTCACCAGCCGGGCTCACTTTTGGGCAGGAAGGAATAAAAGACTGAGCAGCAGAGCCTCTTGCCCTCTTTTCGACTTCCAGTTCGGTGGTGGAAAAATACTCGGCTCATCTGGGTTGCTTGTTTTCTCTTGTGAGTAATTTCTACAATAAATACTTACCTATACACTCAATAAGTGTGCCATTTATCTTTGTATATCTGATAGGATATTAGGTCTTAGCATTGCAAAACAGTTGAATTTTGGTATAAATTCTGTCATTTCCACAAACATTTATTATTCAAGGTCATTCCTACAAAACTACTTTTATCCATCTTTCAGAGACTCCTGAAACAAAAGATGACTATAGTATGAGTGTTGAAAGAAAAAGAAAACCTATAAATGGTGGTTTATGAGGCTTTATATTATAAAAGCTCACTTAATAGATGAATGACTAGATACATGACAATTGGAGAGTGGAATTTTATAAGTATGTCACTGAACAAGGTCATCTCTCAAGATTTTGTGGGACATGGAAACCAAAGACATGGGACAACCCCCAGGACTACTCCACAAACAGTGCTCAGCTCAGAAACTTAGTTTGATTGTTCAGTAGTTTGGGGGTGAAATGACTAGGCATGGAGTCTAGTTAAAGGACCAGACTTACAACAACTCACAGAGCCTGAGCATACAAAGAGGCCATACTGTCAGTGAGGACCTGAGAGCCAGTCCACCAAATTAGTGAGCACATGACCAAAAGCATGTGTTTTGTTGCTGCTCTGTATTCAAAAGTATGAAATATTGCTGGGCGGTGGTGGTACATGCCTTT